GGGAAAGAAACATACCAGGTTAGACTTTGGAAAATTAAAAAAATTAAAATTAAAAAAAAAAAACGAAAGAAAGGTGTAGATTCTTAATAGGTTCTTTAAATCAAAGAGTGACAAAATAGTTTTGATAATGAAATAATTCTTTCACAATTCTGCCTTTTCAGGTAGCTAATACAGGAGAATTGTATGCAATTCTTAATTCAATTGTTTCCTGTTGCTATACAGGAGAATTGGTTTTACCGGACCTTTGCCAACTTACACCGTCTTTTATCAGCTTCTATTTCTAGAAATTCACATACACATCCTTCTCAGTCTTAGTTTTTTAGACCAGGTAGCCTAACAAGCCTGTTGAGAGCCTAACAAGCAACAACTCATTAGCAAAGTGTGAGTGTGGGTAATATTAATTAGGCAACGATGGCAGAGCTGTTCTCCTAGACTTAAGTCTGAAGCACTCCAATATTCCCAATGCCAAGACAGGAAAGAATGCCAAGACAACCCAAGTGAGCTGAGCAGTTCATTATAACAGTTTTCCACACTTCAGCAGTAGAGACAAGGCTTGGAACAGGTCTTATGTATGGCCAAAAATAACTGCATGGTTCAATACAAACGGATTAACTGATGGGTCTCAAATCAAGGAGACTTTCATTCTTTTTTTTTTTCTCCAAGAAACTCCCGTCTCTTTTAAATCTTATTTCAGACACACCTAACACTAACTTTTTCCAGTAAGTTATTTATTATCAACCAAAACGTTAATACTTTTTACTAATGAAAAGCTTTCCAAATATCCATGCAAACTACAGTTCTTTTGGCCAAAAGGAAACAAAGTCATATACATCAAAAGTAAACCTAAGCTACTTTTCAAATGTTTCAATATATTCCTCAACTATCTTGGCCATCTCTAAACACAGGCATCAGTCCTGTTCTGCAAGTGCTGAGAGATTATTTCCTCAATGAACAGCTTTTAAGGTTTAAAAAGGAGACTTATTCAGGTTAATAGAAAAAGAAAATAAAATAAAACAGAGCAAAATGGTGATCATTTTTCAGCCAGTGAAAATGCTGTACAACATCACATCACTGTAAGAAGAGATTTTTGTAAGGTTTGCAAGCCTAGAACTTGTCTAAGTGTTGTTACAGTCAGAAAAAAAAAAAAAACAGTTGGTTGACATGTACTGCCAGACACTTTTCCAGGGATTCAGGAACAACAGCTTTTTTTAGTCCTATTTAGTAACAAAATGCTTTTAAAGACACCATTGAAAAAATTTGTGAAGATTGATGTTCCTTTTGCTAACCAAGCCCAACCTATCCTCTTAAAGGATGACTGTAAGCACAAGGATCTTCAATAACTGCACAACTGAGACTTTCAAAAACATTTGGAGGCAGACCTTCTTAGACAGTTCCAAAAGCTTCTTTTATCAGAGAGCATGAGATACGGGACCTACATTTCTTATTTCATCTGTAATTCATCTATTTCACCTATAATTAAAATTGTCTGTGGAGATGTAGGCCTTATTCAACCATACACAGCACACCCTTTTTCCATTGCAAGGGCAAATGTATGCAATTATTTAAGGATTTTAAATTACCTAAATAAAAATTTGAATAAAGCTTAGAAAACATTTAGAATTTACTTCCCACTCTGTGGAAGAAGCTACACCCCCATCAGCACAGCTCTCAAAGATAGCAAAACAAGTTGGATTTACCCCACAGGATGCTCCCATTTAACTTGCCTCCATTTCCAGGCAGAAGATTCAAGCTCCCTGAGCAATCATCACTGCTGAAACAGTTCAGTTGTGTCCCCCTGTTTACAGAGGAAACCCACAATAAAGCGAGCAATGCTGCTGTTTGTACCTGGGAGAAGGTGGGGGGGAAGGAACACAGAAACACAAGCTGGACCAGCTGGTACTTAAACTAGACCTTGCTAGAGCTTACCTCAAAACCAATGGTGGCAAAACATACTTTATAGCTATAAGTGGCCTTAAAACCTTCCTTCTCTTTGCAGGCAGAGATTTAAAGACTGAAGTACAACTGACACAAAAGAAATATGCTTCCTTACAGTTGCCCAAGGTATGACCTTCCAATGCAAAACAAATAAACAAACAAAGATCAGATATCCAGGGCACTATTGAGCTGCATCTCTTTCATATTTTTCAGGAATTGAGCATGATACAACGAGAGATTCCAATCACTGCCACTGTCACCTACACCTGGGCTGGAGAACTAACACTGGATGTTTAGTAATCTACCAAAACTTGAAGCAGTGAAGAGCCTGATACGGTACTCTACTATCCGCCAGATCTTTACTTGTACCTTGATTAATTCCAAATTAATTAATGTCAAGTGAAACCCACATATGGAGAAAGTAAAAGGAATAAAACCTCAAAAATAAGTAAAAGTAGCAAAATTAAAAGGCAAAAACCTTGCATTCTTACTAAGTTACACGGAGACCTTTAGTAGGTAATGTTTTTGTAAGAAGACATGGAGACTAAAAAGATAGACGTGTTTCAAGTACTTTCAAGACAAGGATTTCTTTTTTTAACCTTATAATTAGTAAGATATATTTGTAATGGGAAAATTATTCTAAATACTTTGCTGTAGAACATGTATTTCACCTTCTTGGAGTGGCACAGGTTCTGCTGAGTTTTCACCGCTCATCAACACAACAAACTGTGCAGCTGTTCGGACTGTAGCTTGCCATGTTGACAATGCAACGGGTGGCTCTTGGCATGGGAAAAGAGCTCTGTTGTTAATTGGTGATCCCATCGTATAAACACACGGCCTGGATGGAAGGAAAAGAGAGACTGAAGTTGCTTTTGGAGTTACTACAGAAATTATAATAGCAAAGACTGAATTAAGCTCCCTGTCAAAGATCAACCCTACTGTGCTACTGTTTTCAAGCTTCTCAGCTATGTAGTTTTCAACATCTGTTTAAGATGAACCAAACAAAGTACTATTTCAGTTACTCAAGTCACAATGAATATAGCAAGGTGGCTACAAAATATTTTTTTACATAAACAACAATAAATTCCTCCTGCCTCTGCGCTCTCCTGCTTCTGCATGAGCCATCCAGCTTCAGATAAGAACTCTCAGCTGAGCCTGTAGGGCCAAGCAGTGTCTTCTGGATGTCTTCAAAAGGCATCAGCATCCACAGTGTCTGCCTGAGGTCTTTAATTTCTACTGCCATTAAACCCCTCACTGCATACATAGCCTGGAGGCTAAGTCACTGCAGTAGACCTAGTCTTGAGGCCCTTCCCAGTCAAAGATCAGAGCTAGCTGTGACCTTTTAACATTTCTTCTTCATGAAGCGAGGAAGCACAGGCTAGTCAACCTGCCTTTCATGACTTTGGCCACTGGGCATATGATGAGAAGAGTATTGCTTCTCTCTTCGTCAAGGCAGGCCTCTTTCCCACTTTGCCATCTAGCAACCTTCCTGTGGTGCTGTATACTCTGCATTTTCTCTAGCCCTCTCTGGGCAACCTCTTCAGCTACTGCCTCTTATCCTGCAATTTTTCATAGCAGCTGATTTCTTACTAGCAGCCCAGCCACTCCTGGGAAAAAAACAAGGCCTTTCATTAGCTCCTTCAAAGTGCCACTGCACAGATGTAATAAATCTCATTTTGCCCTTTTAGTTGTATTTTTGCAGTTTCATCATGATTTCTAGTACTCGCATAATACCATCCCTTCAGAATCAGTCATACAGCAAACAGTTTTCAGATAAAAACTACACAAAACAATCAATCAGCAGGCTTCTCCAGCTGTAAAAGAGAAAATCTTGAAAACATCACTTGATTCAACTGTCTTTTTTTTTTTTTTAATCCCTAATAGTTAAAGACAACATTTTGGGAGTACAACACATTACTTTTGGAAATACTTGAAACTAAAAATATCCTGTTCAGTTTCTGGCATAACCTGAGCTGAAAAAAAAAAAAAAAAAAACATCAAAATGCTTAGGGGAAAAAAAGGAGACAAGTTGTTACAGTACAGCCTCTTTGGCAACAGCTAAGATCCAAGTATCTTGTTTATTTCACTCAAGTAGTTCCTTCACTCAAACAATTCCTCACCTAAAATCAAATCCAGACTGTACAGAGGGAGTGAACATGGAGATGTTAATGGCCATGGCTGGAAGATACTATGAAGATAATTTAACCCGTTTTGTCAGGTTTTTTGTGTCCTAACAGATCAAGAGCTGTCTACGACAAAATCAAGTCACAGTGGCTCCATCACCCAGCACATTTCCTGAGCTGTAGCAGCTCTCAAAATTGTACTTTTAACCCATAGCAAGTGCAACCCATTTAAATGCTGTTAAGGTGATGCATTTTTCCTTAAACTTGTAATGGACTAAAAGCAAATGTAGGTTAGTTACTATGATTCAGCTGACATCAGCACTTTTCTAATCTAAAATAATTTGAACATGTATTGGACTCCTCAGTGACCTAACTTCAGGGAGCGAGCCTCAGAGTTAAGCAATTTAAAGGAACTTTTACAGCTTTTCATTCCTAATATTTGTGAAGTTTTAACTTGCCTCTCCAAGACAGGGCGGCACCAGTCTAAACAGGCCTGCCCCTCAGACACAAGCAGGAAGAGGGTCTGGCTTCCCCCCGCCAGCATCAGACTAAACAGAGCGGGTCGCCGCTACCCAGCGGAGCTCGGCCAGGGAACCAGCGTGTGCAGAAGGGCAACTGCTCGTCTCCGTCTCCTACTTTCACCCAGCAGAACCAGCACGCATACATCTTTTATTAGCTGGCATCTCTTTAGAATTAATCTGCTAAAGGTGAGCCTATAACCAAGGCAGAAATACTTAAATGGGTTTTCTCCCGCAAAAAGAAACAGGACGTGTCGGTGAGACCACGAGAATTAGTTTCAGACAAGTAAGAAGAGATTGTTCCTTCATTTCCTAGGTTCTTCTTCCTCTTTAACGTAAAGGTAGCAGAGACTTACATTTTATCAATGGATACATTTGGGATGGAGGTTTTGCAGGGTGCCATTGGTTCACGCTGTCTTAGACCAAGTGCAGAGGACTTCTCTATGCTGAATAAACTCTAGGGGCAGCACTGCAGTGGGTGAGGGGACAGGCTGCAGAACAACACTGAGCTTACCTTCACCATCACGGCCTTATGAGACCCCGGCACAGCACACAGGAGCTAGCAGCACCCCATTCAAACAGAGGGAGGGTTAACTTGTCAAAGCAGGGATCTTTTTTGCCTTGTACCCTAATGTGCATATAGTCTATGACAACTGTTAAAAATCCGAAGACTGGATGTCCCATATTCATATTTCAAGTGCCGAAGTCTCAAACAGATAACACATCAGCTAGCAGCAGAATCGAAGAGCAGCCTGGGATTCTCTCTTTTTTTTTTTTTTTTCCAATTGGTATCATTTTAATGTTCAGAGATAGAAACCCAATGTCAAATGCAATAAAAGCATAACATGAACCAGATGCTGTCTAGACTATTAATATAATCTTGCTTTCAGAGAGCACTTTTTACCTGCAGATCATGAAGTGATTTACAAATTATGTCAATACCATTTTACAGATGGAGAAAATGAGACAGGGTAATAGATTTGCTCAGTGCCTGTGTGCACACTGGGCCTACAGACTTAGTTTCTAGTCTCGCAGTCCCACAGCTTTTCCATTACACTCAGAGCCTCAATATGAGAAATAAATTTACATATTACATAACTAACTTTTTTTCTGAAAAATTTTAATGTTAAAATAGAAACAGATAGGTCACAAGTCTCTACAGTAAAGACCAAGTAGAAGAGGAATGATGGAGACAGCCGAATATAAAATCTATTTTCAAAACTACATCTTCCTTGCACTCCTCACGTGCTTCAGTACTATTTTCGTCCAGATGTACTTAGAGTTCATTATTTCAACCTCAAATTCATTAAAATATGTAAAAGTCTGCTGAGAAAATGGCAATGAAACATAAAGTTCTAAATTTGGAGGGGAACTGTCAGAACAACAATTACATCAGCATTTAGTTACATATTCTAATATTCATGGCATGATCACCTGGAGATTTACTGATTGACAACATGCTATCAGATGAGAAGCCAGCCAATACTTCTGATGAGAAGTCAGCCTTGTTCTGCTTTACAAAGAAGTTCATAAGATGAACTTATGATTATGAAGAAATACTTCTTTTTTTCTCTGGGATTTTTAATCTGTTTTCACCCTAATATATCTCTAAAGAGTTTGTTTGTTTGTTTTGCTTTCCCTGACAAACTTTATTTCATTTTGCTATTTTTTGATACTTCATTTACATTTTATATATATATACACATACATATATATATGTATAATATGGATATTAACAACTCTGCTAACAGTGCAGAGTTTCTTTCTATCTTGTTTCTTTTAACCTGACTCAGAAGAAGTTAGGAAGCTAAAGAATAGCAATGACAATTAGTCAGCAGTCTCAAACTCCTACAAACAGATTGAAAATGTATTTTCTCTACCATATCACTACCAATTCTAGTAAGAGACTTGTTAGTCCTTTTCCTTTCTCCCCACTCCCACTCTCTAGATCCCTCCTTTCACTTTTCATGGTCACCTAACTTGCATTAGGTGACTCTCTGCATTTTACTATGGACAACCAAAATAATTTCCACCACACTTCAAAAGAGTAAGCAAACAGCATACAGCACCAGCAGAAGAGCAGAGAACTGGAACTATTTGCCTCAACTGGCCATCCCAGTAGAAAGACAGGTGTCTGCAAAACGCAAAGTAGGTCTCTGGTCACTCATTTGGCCAACTTCATGACTAGTGATTTCTAGAGATAGATAATTGACGCCTCTGGGCTATCAAGCACTGGCTGCCATACTCTTGGTTGAGCTTCAAGAAGAGGCCTGGGGCAAGATTCGCTCCACATCTCCCAGAGACAGAGCGTCTGATCTAAATACGAGTCATTCAACTCTAATTCATCCATATTCCACACATTTGAATAAAAAGATTAGCATAACCACCTCTTAGAACATCTCCCTTTCCCATGGAAGCATACAGCAATTAAAACTAAACTAAGCTACTGAAACTTAATAATAACTACTTAAAAATAAATATCCAACTGGAACTCAGTTGTCTGAGACACCTGTACTCCAACCGAAGCTCCAACTGATGACATCCTATGTGGCTCAACCTGCTTTCAGCCTGTCTGAATATTTCTCCAGCAAAGTGCCCAGGTCAGCAGCTCTATTCTTGCATTAAAATAAAAAATAAAAATAATTTTTTTAAAAAAACCTCTTAGTTTATCAAGTGTTGCCTCCACATAAGGGGCAAACTCTTCCAATTACAAGGTTACTTCCCAAAAAAACATTGCTGTTTGAAGCTATTGGTTATTCAAAATTATAGTGTGTCACAAGGTATATTTTCTATGAAGCAGCAGGATTTCTTGAGACACAAATTATACCATGTTTTTTGTTCTGCAAAGTGCCAATGATCACAACTGGATTCCAGCAGCGCAGGCATCCTGTTTGCACTTTTCTGCTGAATAAGACACCACCTATGCCTTTTAAACTATTCACCTGTTTAAGTAAGTACTAAAGACAATTATGAGTGACTTTTCTGGTAATATTTATTATTCTGATGATGTTTATAGAACAGCTGGAGAGATACATTTATGAATTCCCAGTTCACTGAAAAACTTTTTGCGAATTTGTGGGTGATATGACAGGTATATCAAATCTGCTTCAGCTGCACACAGTCTTTTCATATCAAAAGCATGTTTTTTAGCACAGACATTGCTAGGAAGCAAGACTGACCGGACATTGCTAGGACAG